ACCCTCCCCTTCGGACCACGAAAATTGGCCTGGTAAAGTGACCACTAGTGGGCCTAATAAAAGCAGTCCCTTCCCAAACATCAACCCATGAAATCATAAACATGACTCCAAAGATGCGAAAGTATACAGTAGGCCTCCCCTCGAAGCCAAATCGAAAAAGTTTCCGCTTAGGCCTGGCATTAAAAACTTGGCAGCTTGTTAAGAGTCGGCTGAAGAGCAGATTGTAGTTCGCAGTGCTGGGGGCCAAATTAAATCCGCAAACTGTAGACAAAATGCAATAAAATAAATTGCAACAATATCCGCAAAAACCGAAGCCAAGGCGAAAGGGGGCAAAGCGGCGAGCGGCGAGCGGTGAGCGGGGCTAAGCGAAATAAAAGTTCCTTATAAATGATGCTGCTAACCTTAGTGCCGCATTCGGAGTGAACATAATATAAATTTTCAACGGGGCTGAGCAGGAGCCAAATGAAAGGTGACAGCTGGGATGTGGGGGAATTGGGGGAATTGGGGCAGGGAGCTATGGCTAAACAATACTTCAGCAAAAAGTAAGTTGAAAACGAGTGAGAAAAACTTAAGTGCCCGTTAAATTTCCCAGCGGACTAATGATAAAAGTTACGCGACTCCTGGCCACGCCCTTCAGCCCCCCAACGCCCGCTTCACGCGCATTTTCCTACCTTTCCTGCAGCATTTTTCCCGGCTTGTCGGATTTGTTTGCTCTTTAACCCTTTCCATTTGGCGAAGCCTTTTCATTGTTTTTTTAGCTCCTTTCGCCATACTTTTTGTTGTTTTTCCCTTGCCTCAAGTACCGGTAAATACATTGCGGCATTCAAGTTAATTTACCACAAGAAAGGAGCCAGCAAGGAGTCACAAGGAGCAGAAAGAAGCCTGCAAGGAGTGGAGAAGCAGTCTCGGCAAGGGCGGAAAAAAATGCAATGAAAATTATGTTGAACCAGGCCAGGGATCGTAATTAGTTTACTGCCATTTAACTTGCTACATTAGTTGCAATTACGTAGTAAATATTGTTCATTTATTCCGTAGTTCATTTGAATTTTTTAAACTGTTTGCTGGGGTTTCCCGTTCCTGAATATTTACAAGAATATCTGAAAGGGTGAAAATATCTGGGATATTTAATAACAACCTGAAGCATTTTCAATCAAATATTTGATTTAATTGTCCCAAAATTAAAAATACAACTTAATTTTTAAAATATCTGAAAGCTAGCATTTGAAACCGTAAAATAATTACTAACCCTGTCCTCAAATCGTAAATCTATTAGGCTAACAATTCAACAAGGAAACCCATTTACATTCTTAACCACATTAAACACTCATCCCCAAGTGCTTCAAGTGTCAAGTGATTGGAATTTTGCCACTGCGGAAATCTTGAAAAATCATTCAAGTGGCTGGAGTATTTCTCAAAAGTTAATTGATGCAAAATGTTGTTTGGCTTTTTTTGTTCAATGTTTAATATTTTACTTGCCACTGCTGTTGATACAGTGTGTGCGTGCGTGCCATTCGATTTGTGTTTGTTATGTGCTTTGCATAATTTAACACTTTGCCTTAAAAACAATCAAATTGTCAAGTGTCAAAAGTTCGTGTCGGCCCAGAATATTCCTGCGCTCCACTGGGCTCTGTTTGCGCTGCCATGTAAATGTAAATAAAAATGCATTAAAAATGTAGCTGTAATTTACTCACTCACACTTTCCCGGGAGGTGAAAATGGGCTGAAGAGTGGAAAGGGGTGGCGACCGAAAGTGGGTGCCTGTGTGCAATATTTTGCATTTGCCTGCCAGTTTTTCCGGTTTGCTCTGACCACAAAGTGTTGGCCATTAACCGAGCGCAGTCTGAGCCACCCGCAGCTTCATGCCATGTTTATGCCGCTCGCTTTAAGAATGCGAATTTTCATGAATTTAACGGAGTTTGGAAAACTGTTGGTCTACTAGTTTAGTTTGACGCGATTGAGTGTACTTTCAATAGTATTTCAATGTATGGTATTTACTTAACCAGATACAGTTTAGAAATCCCTTGCAATTGCAAGTTCCTCTGGAAGTTTTGCGTTGAAATAGTTTGCAACAAGAGCTGCGCATAAACGCAGTAACAGATACTTTCCCGGGGAAGCGGAAAGGCAGGCTGACGCGTGTTAATTTGAATAAATTATTAAAGCACGTGATGAGCGCGACCTTTCAACCAATTGGGGCAACTACCAGCCCCAACACCAGCCAGCACCCACACTCACACCCCCCAATCCCAATTGGATGGTCGGAATCACACCAAGCCACCTCGCCCCCCGCACGCCAAGTGCAATTAAGCACGAAAAAACCAATCAAACTGGAAATAAATTGCGCCATAGTTGCAACAGCCACACAGCGACCAGGGTTGCCATACGGCGCCGATTTTTGCGAATTTTTTTCGCCTAGCCAGCACTTTGTGTGCCCCATCTGCGTGTGGGTGGGTGTTTGGGTTTTTTGCGTCCGCCGGGGGCTTCCCTTTTTATTGTGGCCGCTGGGTGAAAATTGTTTGCATTGCATTCTCTGCTGATGCATGCGAATTGAGAAATATTTGCAATTTAGCAAAATACACCCGGAAGCGGCTCCGGATTGAAGCTTCAGCTCCTTTTGCCACATTTCGCAATTTCGATTTTCGCCCCGCATTTGTATTCATATTTGTGTTTGGTTTTTCCAATCGCACTCGAGCCCGTCTTTCCACACGCTTGCAGTGCGTGCAAAATGACGGCAATTAGGTGTATATGTTGTGCTGATTTGTGTTTTTTTAGTTGATCGCCTCACCTTCGAAAATTTCCAGAAATACAACATCCTTTGTTTCAGAAAATGGTTTTGAGCCGAGAATCATTTTAGGTATAATTATTGGTGAGTTTTTTAGCTCACTTGTATCGCTAGTTTTTCGAGCAATGGTAATTTGAGATCACTCATCAGTGACCACAGATTCATAGAAAATCCAATGTATTTTATTGAGGTACGCAAACTCCTTCGCAGCTCAGATCAATTGTCGAGTTCAGTGATGCAGGAGGAGATAGAATAAAGTATAAATACAATTTGTATGCTTGATGTAATTTCATTTCCACTTATCTTGGTATTTTCTCTGCATTTTGCTTCATGCGATTGATTTATCGCACAGAAAATAATAGGCAGCCAATGTCTGTGCATCCTGTGAAAAGGACTCGCTCTCGGCCTTCCAAGCATTCAATCCCTGAGCCGGGTTCAGTTTATATTCAAATGCTTACGCTTAAATGTCAATAATACGTGAAATTGAACTGCCAATTCAATCTCCACAACTACTCCGCATCGCTCCTCCACTTCTGCAGTGAAATCATTTCCATATAAGCGTTTTCCCATCTCGTCTATTTATATATCTGTATTTCTTTTCTTTTCGCTCGCAACTCTTTTTTATTTTCCATCCTGCGAGAAAAATTCTTTCTGTTCATATGTGGAAAAACTATTTGCAAAAGTCTCAAGTGTGCTCGGTTCCCCGGCCAGCAGAGTTTGCGGGGGCGTGGGGATTGGAGGCGGAGGTGGAGGTGGATGTGGAGGTGAAGGTGTTGGTGTTGGACTTTTTAAAACGACGCCTGCAAATTGTACGCAGATCACATTACACTTGCTCCAGCGGACGGCATGTGCAACTGCCGGCTGCCTCTGTGGATTGCTTTACATTTGGCTGCACTTCCTACCCGGCATTCACTCGAAAAATTGAAAGATTTATTTCTTAGTTCTTTGCGATTACATTTCCACCGAGCTAATGTGTTCCGATCCAACGGCTACGTAGTGGCAGTTTGTCAACTGTCATTGCATCAGACATTGAATGGGGCACGATAGTAAATGGATTGTAGGAGGTCGGTGGAGAGCGGTGAAGCGAGGGGAAGCGAGGGGAAGCGCGGGGACCTGTCGCATTTTGTTGACAACTACATTGCAAATACGGCAAAGTAATCAGTATTGTGTAAATAACCAGTTATGTATCTGCGAGTGCAGCTGACAAAGCGAGTGGTAAGCGATATGCACTGAAGCACGAATAAATTCCTGAAAGCGTTTCTCCGATGAATCCGATGCATTTGGCAAGATGCGAACCGAATCGATAATCGAATAATATGCGAATATCACTCATACGTAGTGGTGAGCACCAACGCATGTAGCACACTTTTCAGCGCCAAATGTTTCCTCGTGCGAGCCGGAACAAATTTAATATGTGGCTAAGGTCAGCTGGTAAGCACCTTAGAGCCTAGAATCGGAAAAACGCAGAAAGCACTTGAAACTATGCGTATAGCTTTTGCACTCAATGGGCAGTTGTCGGACTTCTGGGCGAAGGTAAGCCAATGAGAAGAGGTAAAAATGTCCAAGAAAACTGAGTCAACGGGCCAGTTGAACACCGTTTTTCTCATCGGCAAGTCGGTCGCTGTTCGAAAATATTCAACAAATTAAATTGGTTGGTAATATTACATTCAATAAGGATAGATTTACCTAAGAGGAAGTTCTCCAGTACACTCCAAGTGGATTACATTGCTGCTGTTAGTTTAAAGTGAGATTTGGAATGTTTGGCGGAGGATGTAACTTTTCTTTATTTATCTTTCTAAATTTGGTCTAATTGAACTGAATAATTATCTTAAATTAGTGAGTACGATCTAAAGCAATATATAGGTTTTGTAAGTGTTTTAAGTTACCCTTACATAATTTAACAAGAAATGTTCTGTAATAGCAAAAGACTAGTTAATCCTATTTTTTACTATCTTTTACTTCCCATGTAGCCAAGAGAGTTTTAATCCCATTTAATCAATGTCATTTTACTTGAAAGATTTTTGAATCAGTATTTTGCCGAGTACTTGTTTTGCTTAGTCTTCTCATTCTTACCTGTTTTCTCATCGATTTTAATTTTATTTGAGGCGATGGCCTAAATCATGGTCAGCACAAGGCTTGTCACGTCTCATGTTTTTCTCGTTTTCATTCCTCTGTTTTCAGTTGTCTGCTGACCATGAAAATCTGGCCATGAAACATTTTTTCAACTAAGCATTGGACAAGGTAAAGCCCGCCGAAAAGGCACAAACGGATTAACTTTTATCTGAAAGTGGGCAAAAAATAGACATGGAACCAGGAACGACTCCTTCGCCTGTTGCAGCACCGGTTGCAGCAACAGTTGCTGCGCCTGTGGCGCCACCAGCAGTGGCTACCCCAGTCCACGTAGTTAGCCCCGCGGCAGTGGCTCCTGCAGCAGCGGTAGTGGCTCCCGCACCAGCGGCACCGATAGCAGTCACTCCAGTTGCAAGTGTGCAAACGCCATCAGTTGCTGTTCCTGATGCTTCAGCTACAGCTCCAATTGCTGCCGCATCCGTTACTCCTGTCGCATCCGTGGCGGCTCCGGGTGTTGCAGCTCCAACTGCGCCAGCAGCAAGTCCAGTTTCAGCACCACCCATTGCTGTTGCCCAGATTCCGGTTGCTGTTTCAGCACCAGTGGCACCAGTCGTTGTTGCAACACCCACTCCTGTTGCCACAACTCCTGTTGCTGCGCCTGTGATAGCAACACCACCTGTTGCTGCCGCAGCTCCTGCTCCGACTGCTGTTCCAACACCCGTGGCGCCTCCAGTTGTTGCAACTCCCGTAGTTGCTCCTGTGATCGCCACAGCACCCGTGGTTGCTGCTTGCACCTCGGTTCCCGTTGCAACACCTGTAGCTGCTGCACCAGCACCACCAGAAACCCCAGCAGCTGTCGTTGCTCCTGTTGCTGCGCCTGCCGTTGCTCCTGCTGCTGCTCCCGTCGTAGCAGGGACTCCAGCTCCAGCGATCGCTGCACCACCTCCAGCTGAGACTCTGGTTGCAGCAGTACCGGAACCGGTTGTTCCTGTCATTCCCGAGGTTCCAGCTCCTGTTGTCGCAGCTCCATCGGTGCCCTCGACTCCCGTCGTTGCAACGACGCCAGTAGCTGCAGCAGAGCCAGTGGCCCTTGCACCACCCGCTACTGAAATCCCAGTCGCTGCTCCCACTGCAGCTGCGCCGCCTGTGTCTGTTGCACCACCTGTGGAGGCTGCAGTTGTCGCTCCTGTGAGTGCTTCGACTGAGGCTCCGGTACCTGCTGCAGCTCCAGTAACCGTACCAGAAATCCCAGCCGTTGCTCCAGTCGTTGTCGAGCCTCAAGTTGCTGCGGATCCTGTTGTAGCTGCACCTATTCCTACTCCTGCCTCAGAGCCAGAACCCATTGCACCAGCTGTTGTTGCAGAAGTCCCAGAAGTTGCACCAGTGATCGCTGCATCACCGGTTGCTGTTGCTGAAATAACACCACCAGTTGCGCCTCCTGTGGCCGCAGAATCAATACCAGCTCCAGTAGTTGCCACGACACCAACACCTGCTGCAACGGAGCCGGTGGTCATTGCACCTGCTGTTTCCGAAGTAGCTCCAGTGATTGTTCCATCACCCGTGGCCAGTGCTGTTGCTGAAGCTCCTATTGATGTAACGCCACCTGTTGTCCCTCCTGTGGCTGCCGAACCTGTGCCAGCTGTGACCGCTGCCGAGACTCCAGCTCCTGAGACCCCAGCACCAGTTGCAGTAGAACCAGTGACCATTGCGGCTACAGATACACCAGAAGTTGCTTCTGTGATCGCCACACCCGCTGATGCAACCGCTGAAGCTCCGGTTGCCACAGCTCCACCAACTACGGCTTCTGTTCCCGAAATCACTGTACCACCTTTGGCAACGGAATCTATCGATGTTCCTGTGCCATTAGAGGCCGCCGTAGAAACCACGCAGGCAGTCGAAGTTACAACAGAAGCTGCAGTTGCAGACCCTGCTCCATCTGAGGCAACTGCTTTAATTATCGAGCCACTGGACCCACCTATTCCGGATTCAGTGGAACAAATTACTTCCGCGCCAACTGTTGAAGTCTCTGCAGAACCAACATCTCCGCCAGTACCAGAAATCTCATCACCAACTCCAGAGCCCATACCCGAACCGGAACCGAGCCCAGCGATTCCGGCAGAGCCAATACCAGTGGAGACACCAGTCGCTATCCAGGCACCAGAGGTTGCCGTAGAGGCACCGGTCAGTGAGCCTGCACCGGAAAAAGTCCTGGATCCTGTCACAGCTGAAGCTCCTACAACAACTCCAGAACCAGATGTCGCCACCATTAATGACGCTCCTCCAGCTCTTGTTGAAAACGTTACTGCTGCTGCAGATGTGGAATCAGCCATACCGATCACTGAACCACCGGTTGAGCAAAAGATTCCTGCAGCTGAAGTTCCAGAGACGGTGAAACAGCCAGTGGAGATTGTGGTTGAACAGAGCGCCATCCCTATAGAGGCAGCAGTCTCGGAAGAGGTTTCAAAACCTGCAGAAGAAGATGTTTCTCCAGCTGCTTCTTCTCCAGAACCAGTGATTTCTGAAACATCAGCTGCCGAAGAACCAATTACGGCAGAGGAAACCGCAGAAAATATTACTGCCGGAGCTTCTGAAGATGCTCCCACTTTTGCAGAGAAACCAGTAGAAGAGGTATCCACTGTGGAAATCCCCGAACAGTCATCGTCACCTACAGATTCCGTTCCCGTGGCAAAGATAACTCCTTTGCTTAGAGAGCTTCAGACCACCGATGTTTCGCTATTGGCCATTGCCGCCACACTGGATGCCATTGGGGAAAAGCTAAAGGACCAAAAGGCCAGAAATCAGCAAGTAATGGACAGACTCTGCGAAATCGAGAAAATTCTTGGCCCTCCCACATCCAATTAGCTCAAGTGAAAAGCCTAGATCATGTAAAATAAAGCTAATAAAGCGTTAATGCACCAATTTTAAAGTAAATATAAAATGATAATAATATCGCTTTAATTTTGTTTAGCCAACAAATACGAGGAATAAATATGGTATAATAGGGTTAAAATATCCGAAGTACGTTTAGGTGGTCACAAATTGTTCCGTGCAAAATTAATGTAACCAAAACAAATCTACCACTTCCACTTTTTGGACATATCAGCATGGCTGGTTCCAAAACCCCAGCCACAGAACCTAATTTGCAAGCGCGTCAAAAATTTTCACGTGGAAAATTAGCATTTCAGATCGGAGTGGGGCATAAATACAGACGATTGTAAAAGGAGAAAATTAATGCATATTTCCCCCACTTTGTCAGCGAAAAAACAACATAAATTAGAGTTACCTCGCTGCTTTTGTACCGAGAAAGCTGGCGACTTCTGATAATTGGAAATTTATCAATGAATAATTTAATTTTGTGCTCCTGCTTACACTTCCTTAAAAGCTCACATATAAAGACTATTCTTTCTTCATTCCATTTAAAAATGAGCCCATGAAATTTATTTGGATCAGTCCCGATGCAAAAGTCAATCGAGAGTCGTAAAAACGGTCAAAAGGGCTAAATGGAAACTTTTATTGCGGCAAACTGAAATTTGTGTTTATGGGCAAGTAAGTCCGGGTGAGTCAAACACCTTCGGCTATTATTCTAATCATTTGCATTGTTTTGGTTGGTTGGCTGGTTGGCTGACTGCTTCGTTGGCCTATCTCACAAAGTTTCCCTTTTTTGGGCTTGTATATGGGCAGAATTCGACAGAACCCAGTTACATGTTCGACAGTTCAATCTAAATCTATCGGCTACCCACACACACACATAGCAACACAAAAAGAAACTGAGCTAAAAGCTGAATTCCCATTTGACCATTTTGTCTGGAAACAATAAAATGACCTCCCGCACACAGATACAGATACACCAGATACACCAGATACAACCGACAGCCAGCAACATACGAAATCGCATAAATGTTGCAAATGGAGCAACAGAGTGAAGTTGTCATGCCGAGGATGCCGTGGCACAGAACCAAAACAACAGCCACAGCTACAGCTACCCGAAACTGGAAAAAACGAATTTCCTTTTTTAGACTTTTGGCACTTTTGGGTGGGGGGAGGGTGTGGCTCCGGAGGGGGATAGTCAGTCGGCTATTCTCATGCGACTGGGATGAAGGTTACACAGCCTAACCGCATTAATGCCAGCACAGAACAACTCGGTCCGAGTCACAGCCAAATGTGTAATTGTTGCCTGGAGGATTTGCAGAAAGATTTTCACTGTCATTTGAACTCTGTTTAAGGCTTCATTCGCTTTCCCTCTGCAGTTACTGCCATAAATGCTGTCCTCCCCGGTTAAATGAACCAAATTGAAATGGTTCTTGTTTGTGTAACGATGAGAGTGCTTCGGTTTAGGATGTTCTTATATACCAACAATACACATATACCTGTTTAGGCAAACTTATATCTTTTTTCCAGCTATTAACTATGGATATACATATTTGGTTTATATGCAACCTGTTTCTCAGAGCTTAAGCATTATCTTGATGGCCTTCATAACGCCCAATCTCTAGTGAACTAACATACGTTTTAAGAATTCAAGTTATTGGATATTACTTTAAGGTGACATATTTCTTTTCATCATGCTGTTTTTAGTTTTTCTGTTTATTTACATTTTTATAATTTAAACCGAATTTTGTGGATGAAGAGATTGAATTACTTTCTACTTATATTTGGGTATGATAGGGTATGATTGGGTATATAGGAAACTCACGTACAACCCTTGAATACCGAATCTTTATGACGTTTATAATGCTAAGTAATAATCAGTGCGCTTTTCCGAGTGCAGTGATCAACACTTCAGGCCGGAGCTGCTGTCGACCGCAGGAACATTGGTTGAACATTAACTTGACTCCCCCGAGCTGAGGGGCTCCAGAGTGTGCCAAATCAATCAGTCGCCAATGCATAAATGACACAGTCAGGACCGGCATACTCCTACTCATAGGCGACATCGTCCAGCTGTCGCACACGGTCATTGCGGCTAATGCGGTCCCTTGTTACACAGTATATGGCCCTTCCACCCGACATGGTCCTCTCAACGGCTAAATTGGAATTATCCCCTTAGCGACCCCCCATCCCGAACAGAACACCGCCCATGGGTTCACATTAGCCAGACACGATGGATGTGCCGGGATGTGGACAATGATGCCTTAGTGCTTGACTGGCTATAAATTTTGAATTAATTGCCGGCTGCTGAACATTTTTCCCAGAAATTTATGTTTTTCCCGGCTGGTATGCCTCTTCCTGGCCAGAGATTTTTGGCAGTGATTTTAATGTGATTTTCGGTATATAATAAGTGGGAATGGAAATAACGTTTACCTGCAGAACAGTTTATACACAGCGCAATATGGCTAAGGAGTTTTGTTATTGAAAACACTAAGCTTAATTGGGGGCGAGCCTCAAACCAAACCCTTTTTTCTTTCTTTACGTTAAGGGACCAGTCTAATCTTCGACTCTACATATGCTCTTTGTAGAAACTACGAAAACGCGTAGCTTCTGTTTTCGATTTTAATTTGATTACCAAGTGTAATCGGAGCAGGCATTAATCGCATTAATTCCAGCGACCCATTTAAGATGGCTCATTCATATCCAATTTTTTATCTGCTCCTTTGAGTAATTTTATAATTTTTCCCACCACCCTTCCTTCAACAACAGTGATTAATGACTTGTGAGAAAAAAGTGAAAGGTGTGCAAAAGGCAGGGGAAATTCATTTCCAGGGTTCTTGCATGATTGAGTTCTATTGAGTGAACTGCAGAGCTAAGCAGAAAATTTTTCTTCATTCCAACTGGCAAGGATAATTCGCTCGATTGCTTATACCTGGGAATGGAAAAGAAATGAGAGGGGCAAAGGGAATTTAAGTACGTTGAAACAAAGATGTAATTAAAGTCCATGAAACAATATTGAAATGCAAAACATTTCTGTGTGAACAACTTTTATTATGTATGCTCTATTCACAGAAACTAATTTGGTTCCTGCACATGACAACTCTTAATAGCCGACTAGATACAAATTTGACGGGGCAAACATTTGTTCAGTCCAGCTAGTAAGCCCATATAATAGCCCTATAATGAACTCTCGACATGTCCGTGTTCCGGGCAAATGTTTTTGAGTAATTCTTTTAGTTATATTTTATGAAAAACAATTAGCTGCGGGCCTTTCAATACAACTGCATAAGGCCAAACAAAGCCGTACATATATGTAAAAATCGGTTTAATTTGCCAATGATTGGGTGTGTGTGTGTGTGTGTGTGGCCGTGGGTGGTTCAATTATTTAACTACATAAACAATAAAAATATTCGCAATTGTGTATGTGGGCGGGCCGCATTAAAAAGTGAATGTGTCTTCTGCATATATGCAGTCATTGTTTTACAAGCCTTTGTGGGGTTTCGGCTCGGGGGCTGGGATTGGATGGAAATTGGGCTTGGGCTGGTGGGGCTGAGGTTGGAATTGGAATTGGGTTTGGGGCTGGCATCGGGGTGGTTCCAGATCCAAAACTGTCACTGACAGCACTACGTAAGTAATTTCGCGCATATGTTACGCCCAAGGGGGCAGAGTGGGAGTCGTGGGAGCCGTGGGACCATCATCAGGTTCGGCTTAAAGCCGGAGTTCGGCGTATTCATGGCTGCTGCACACGACAAATTGAATTTTATGCAAAAGCTTTAGTTTTTGCTGGCGTTTTCCTCTCCTCCTAACCGAACTACTCCCTTCAAAGTCGCGAATGTCCTTGCAGTTCGCGGCGACATCTATGTCCTGTTCGTCTGCATTATAATTTGTTCCTTTGTTTCCCTTCCAGCCCGCAATATCCTCGGTTTTCCCAGTGCTTTGCACTTTGCCACCGTATATCCGTCCAAGATGCGGTTTTCTCTGGCTGCTGCTGCTGCTGCTGCTGTCCCACTTTCGTTCGTATCCGCTTTGTTTTTGCCCCTCTTTTTTTGGCCAGCACTTTTTTTAGCATTGTGCAGGCGCCTGGATCGACGTTAATGAGGAATTATGTTATCGCACTGTTAAGCTGCCATAAACGGAGCTCTGATTGCATCCTTTCCCTCTCTTTTACCCTTCGCCGCGAAATTAACTGGGCTTTCGGGATAATTTAGACCTCAGTCGGGGTTTATGCATTCACAGACTAAAATTTACATAAAATCCAAATGAGTAATTTGCCTAACTGCTCAATGCATAAAACATGCCCCATAACAATGGAGCAGTTTACCCGTGTAATTGCATTTGTTTCGTTGACAGACGTTGCAGAGTTAACATCACATGTTGGCTGGTCTCGCTAACAGCATCAGATTTCTCTTCCGCTGTTAGCGCATATTGCGTATACGCCACCGAGCCAAACTCTTCGGCTCACTTCGGGCCCGATTGACTTGGCCCGTTAAGGTGTCGTCAGTTGGCTTAGTTTACTTTTAGCCGGTGCCAAGCGTAGTCGCTTCTCGCTTAACAGCTGCCGAACGCAGACTAAACAGCCTCCACGGAGAGCCATAAATGGTTAATATTGAAAGAGGATCTTGACCAAGTATACAGTGATCGGACCTGTGCCACAAACAAAATACAAATTAAGTGATTTTAATTAAATAAATCGAAGGCAAAGGTTAATTATTACAACCAACACAAGCTTTAAGTAAGGAAACCAAAAGAGTTGTGAGAACTTAGGCCAAACAAACCCTAAACAAATTAATTTAACTTGTTAAAAAAAAACTACTTCATACACTTTTTGGTATATAAACAGTCACAGAGAGCGAGACTATGAATCATATACAAAAGTTAATAAAGTAAACTAATAAAAAAAATACATATTTTTTAACCAAAAACCAGTTGTCAAACTGGCCGATCTGTTATGTCTAACCGAATATATGAATATAACCCGTTAAGCTAAATTCCTGTTACAAAACAGTTGAAGAAGACCTACCACAAAAACTGTTTTACGATAACCCTATAAACAATAACGAATTAATGATCCAGTTGGTAAACTGAATGGCAATCAAAATAAACAGAATTACATGAGATGGGAATTTCCCGCTTTCCACTCCGTCGAGCATGGGCCAAAAGTCTGAGCAGTCGAACAGCAGATGGTTCAGGCCAAAAGCAAGACGAAGACCGAGACGGACAACAGTCAAAAGTCGAGGATGCGGAATGCGAATAGAAATAGGAATTGTGTTAAATCATTTACACTTCCGCTGCTGTTTTGTTTGTGCAATCAATTTAATATTATTTGTGTTATCCAAGCTCTGTCTCAAGGTCCAACCCAACTCGTTCCCATCCTTATGGAGGGCATACGGCCCAGTCGTCCGGAACATTACATTTGTTTAACATTTGAGTTAACGCTTCATTGGGCCACCTACTCCACCGCCATTACTTATGTATGCCTGGCATTTCTCAAACTCCGACTGCCACTCGTAGTCCGACTTCAGGCCCATCTGTTGGCAAAGACAAAACAGCATTTAAATCATTATTCTTGGCGAGACTCAGCCAGCCAGCCAGTCAGCCAGTCAGCCCGACCTACCTACATCCACACCTTGGCTAGCCATCGAGAATCCTTTCAATTCATCCTGCGCGTGTCCTGCATCCGTAAGTGGACTCGGTGGGCGTGTTCGCCCGCCCGGACGGGATGGCCATATGTACTCCTTTTACGCCCCACTAAACACCCGCATAAATAAATTTCGTTAATGCCAAATAGTCTGGGGCGTAAAAGAAAGATGAGGTAACACAAGCAGCCGCAGTAGCTGGGCAACCGAGCAAACGACGGCAACTGAGCTTGGTCAAATGGAATGCCCAAGCTCAGGCTTACACAACATGTGTTGGGGTTCCGAAAACCGAAACCGCCCGGAAGATCTCTAAAAGCTATCATGGCTACTTTTTCATAATACCCAGATGGGTAAAATCTTGTAAAGATTACATTTTATTACTTCTACTCGAAGGTTTTGAGCATATGTATAAAGTACTGAACTTGAACTCCTTACTTCCATTTAGGAAATATTTTTTTGGATTTTCTGAAATATTATTATCATATTCAAATATAATCAACATTCCTTTCGTTATGTAAAAATCGTTGCTTTATTTCTGTCAGATTTAAATATGTCCGAACGAAATGGGAACACCTTGGTTGGGCAACTAATGCCAAGAGCACCCACATTACCCCCAAGCCATCCGAAAACTTACACAAACATATCAAAAACAGGACGCGGCGCAAAATGCCGGCCATAAACTGGGACACGGGCCAGAGGAATCAGAGAAGCCATAAGAGCCAGTGGGGCCATAGGAGCCAAGGATATGGGAATACAAGAACTAAAATGTAGGATGAGACCCAGCTCGACGGGCACATTGTGGGAATATTTAAAATTGGCCACGTGTTGTTCTTGCCGCTCAGCTTCCCCTACGACATTTTCAGCTTTTAGTTATTTTAGATTGCCCCGACAAGCTTACCGTGCAAGTGCAATTTGAAAATATGTTAACCCTGCGATTTTGTGCACCGAGAAAACGCCAGCCACGCGAAGCAGAAGAATATATTGCAGCAGTTCGTGTCAAGGCGTATACGCGATATTAACAAGAGCGACATCAGCAGCAACAGCAGCAGCAGCAGCAACATCCAACAAGAGCGGATTTGGACTCAAAATCCCCGCCGAGGCAGCGGATAAATTTACACAGGCTCCAACTCCAGCTCCAGCTGCAGCTTCAGCTTCAGCGACCCAACGCCGCCAGACAGCCAATGTGACCCAGTTAAGGCCACAGGATTTAGCTGGCCAAGGACCGCGAACCAAGGAACCGAATCGGCAACCCGGAACGAGATACGCGGCTCGAGAATCGAGATACGCGATACGCGATACGCGGAGCTCGGGGCGCGAAACACGTCCAATTCCCGACTCGACACGGAGCAAGGATTATCAATTTGCTTGGCACTTTAATGGAGTTGGCCAAGATGCCGCGGCGCCTGATCTTGCTGGCCCTGCTCATCTGTTTGCCGGGTAAGCTGCGTCAAATATGAAATTATTTCTCGCGATACATTTGTCGCATATTAAATGACAATCCCCCTGCTCCCCAGTTGCTCCCCAGTTGCTCCCCTTTTCCCTAAATCTTCTTCTCATCTTTCCGGAGAAAACAATTTGATATGCGCGGCTTAAAAGCATTTTGTGGGCGAATTTAGGGCATTTGCCTGCCGTACATCTTTCGGTCTTTGTGCATATTTTAGCGCAGACTGTCTGAAGTAAGGTGAGCAAGGGTGTGGGGCTTTACTCCGGAATTTTTTGCTCGGCTTGTCAGGGTCAATTTAAATTATGCTGGTATTTTGGCATCGTAACTCATTCTGGGAAAATCTTAAAAATTGGTGTACTTGGTCGCAGATTTTTACATTGTAAAATAATATATGCGTATTCAAAGAAAGTTGCTTAAAATGTTTTCAAGAACATATTGTCTTAAGTAAGGATAATCATTCCCACAAGGATTTCATTGAAATTTAATTTCAAATAATTTTAATGAGTAACTGAAGCACAGCATTTGAATCGCCCATATCCGTTGAATGGGTTTCCTCGTTAATTAATGGTTTTCCCAAATTGTCCACGATTTTTTCCTTTTCCTTGGAAAGGAAATTAAAAACACTTTTTGACCGAGTACTTGTGCCACAATTTTCAGCAAATAAAAACAACGAATTCAAAGGAGAAACAAGAGGGAGAAAAAGGTAATTAAAATCAAAATAGCAACATGAAAAGGCAGGAATTGCTAAACTAAAAGTTAAAACTAAAGCATAACGAAAGTGACTCTCGACATTTTCATCAATGAACCAAACTCGATCAAACGCTGCACTCCTGCCCTATCAGAATTTTGTTTTTTCAATAGAAAAGTTTTGGGTGTGTCGGGAAAAAAACTGCAGCAAGGCCGAGCAATGGGCGAAATTTCCCTAGAAGGCAACTACGGCGGGGGGCTCCTCTGGATGCCTTAAATTGTGTTAAAAGCTCGATACTCTGGCATCCACCCCTTGATTTACCCCTTTTATTCTTCTATTTGTTCGTATTTACCTCCTCTTGCCAGCTGTTCAATTCCTTTGGCCATGAAAGTGATTGACGAAACGCTTGAGGAGACTCAGCCAATTGAACGGGAAATAACAACAATCCTGGTAACAAGTGGGGCGGAAGGACGATTGGGGTGGGCGCAAAGTGGAAGAGCGAAAAAAGTTAAAAACTTTTACTTTTGTTTAATCAAATTCAGCTGCCCAGTTGAGCATCATTGACTGTTTGTAGCAAAAAGTGAGGCAGCTCAGAAGGGCCTCCACGAAAAGGGAACCCAACTCAACTGCAGGTTCTGGCCATTCCGAGCACTCGAAACTCCCCTTTTGTTGGCTTTTTAGCCGTACAGCCTTGCGGTAGCGCTAAGTTGCTCAAGTCTCTGCTTATTTTCCCACGAGATCCCTTTTGGTTGGCCGCCAAAGTGGCACGCCCGACTTAAACGCTTAACAACAATTATTACACAAAGTTACGGCCTGTTTTCGCCTCCATCCTCCTGATTGCCATCCGTGTTGTCATCATTATGGGCGAAAACTAGACTGGCATTTTGATGAGAGTGTCCGGCCGAGAGTCCTCCTGGCATCAAGTTAACTCGGTTCGGCGGCGGGGGGAGATTACGCCGCTCCATAACTGCGGCCGGGTGCCTTGGGGTTAAGCCAATTTCCATCATCATCATCACCATCAGCCTCGGTATAAGCCTCATCATACCATCCAGGCAACATGCCCATCATAATTAGGAGAAGTGTCGAAATGTTGTCAGGCCGAGACGGACACAACGTAGGCGCGACCAGGACATCAGTCAGCCAGTAGGCGTACACTGAAAGAAATGCTGGCGGGAAGCCTCATTAGGTGCAGAAGGAATAATTTACACAAAATATGTTTAATTTTAAAGGCAGATATTTCAAGTACTGTAAAGTAGCTAAAAAACTAATTGGATTTTTTAATTTATAAATGGATCCATTTAAACAAGCGCCAGATATAACTGCAAAGTATTTGAACGCCAATTTATATTTGGTCATTCATTTAACGTATGGAATTTATAGGCAAAAATGTGGATTTGAAGTAAACCACTTAAATGGCTTGTTCAAATAAAAAGCAATTTTAGCGCAGCCAAAGAAGAGCTTGTCGAAAAAAATTGAATTTTAGCGGAAAATTCTCCATAAGTTATTATTTTGAATTTGCGCACATTTTCCGCTCCTCAGTTGCGATTTTTCGCATAGTTAGTCGTTGTTGTGTTGGTGTTGTTATTACTGTTGCCATAACAATAACAGAAGCACACAAACAAAAACAAGCAACTCCGCAACAATAACACCAGCAGACAAACTTGGACTCCGGCAAACGCAACTCGCTTCCGGCCGATGAAAGTGTAGAGGGGCGTTTGATTAAAACACTTTCGACTAAAAATGCCCGCGGGACTTGGGAGCCTGCCTGCTCGGTTAATTTTAGTGTAAGGCGGCAGCTCAAGTTTCCCTGCAGTCCCAGCAGTCCCAGCAGCTTTTCCCCCGACTGCCCCCGATTTCCCCGTTTTCCCCACTCAATGAAATTCTGCATGATGAAGCTCATTTTATGTGTGAGAGTTTTCGTTTTCCCCATCCGCCTTTCCCCCGCCCCCAGGCTCATTACGCAAGTTTTCCTCCATCCTCCGTCAAGTGCTCGACTTGATTTCCCCTCCCATCCCTTTTATTTTCGTATTTTTATCCTTGCGCACAATTTGTTTTTTCAGTGGCGTAGGGTGCAGAGGGGGCTGTGTTCGTGTCTGTTTTTACAACTTTTTAGTTTGCGACTTTTCCCTCTGTTTTGGCGCGCAAAGATTAAGCAAATTTTTTAGGGCCTCGCCAGTTGTCGCGTTTTCTTACGTCTTCGTTTTTTCGTTTTTTTTTTTGGTCCCCAAACAACGTTAATGTTCCCATGCAGGGCTGCCCTAAATGATAATTTTTTTCGTAATAATTTGAGTTTATTATTTTGTTTTCATTTTTTCTTGCACTCGGACTTCCCAGTAATTCGCTTGTTTTATTGCACTTTTTTATGCTCTTTTGATTTGTTTCATTGCTGGCCGACACGCCCTTCTTTTCGCCCGCTTGCTGCCGCGAATTCCTCATCCTTCTCCGAGGTCCTTGAGCCGCCAGACGGCAGCTGTTGGTTTTTATATGTTTTGCGGGCAAATGAGTTGAAGCATCTGACAGTGGTCTACGAAAGTAGAGAGGCAAGTAGAAGTTTTCCATTTAATTACTGTTAATGCAAATTGCTTTATTTTAATCAGTTTTACACATAAAGTGAAATAGGTTCAGACACCTTACAAACAGAGACAAACATTTGATGTTACTATAGTAATAAAAAATGTTAAATTTTAACAAAATACGTGTGCTCGCATAAAAACAATTGTTTACATAGGAAAATGTTCTAGTGTGAAAAAACACCATCTAGACATGGTTTAGACCAATTTATTGGCTACTTAGACTTTCACTCTCCCCTGAAATTCCTGCCCACTGTGCTCGAAGGAAAATGAAATTTTTGTAACTTTATTATAATCAAGTTGGCTGCAGTGCATCATTAGTGCAGGCAATTAAAAAGTTTTTATATGCAATCGCTTTATCTTTATTGCACGTACACGAAGCATAAACATAAAACATGATAACGCACACACACTGCCGCACAGACAGGCTCTCTCACACACACAAACACACACACACACACACAGGCAGGGCCCAGAAAGATGAAGAGAGGCCACACAGACACACGCACGACTTGGCCGGAATCATTAAAAGGACTTCCAGAGTTTTGCATCTACTTTGAGCCCGGCGAAACACGCTAAACTTGATTAGATACTGCCGGAGTCCTCCACTCCTCTCTCGGCTTTGCTCGATTCCACTCGAGATTCAATGGCTGACAAAGAGCACTTGATGGCTCCCATTTCTTCCCGTGTATCTGTGTGATCTCTGTTCATTAGCTAATTAAGACCAAGTTACACACACCACCCTCCGATGTGCATTGCAAATAATGGAGCGAAGGGAAAACGAAGGATTGTGTAAAAATATGCTGCATAGCTCTAGGCGCTAAGAACCCGATTCACAAAATGTTTTGTGGCAGACGAAATATGTAAACGTTTTCTCAGTATTATAAAATTAGCATGCATGAGAGAGTTTTGCACACTACATCCTTAATTCCGACATTCGTTTTATTCACTTTCACCAAAATGCATCTTAAACACTTGTTAAAGTAGCTAAAGTAAGTAAAGTGCATAAAGTTGCATAAAATTGAAATCAAGGTCTTGGCCAATCTTTGGAATACTTTCCTATCAACGTACCGCCAAGTATTTCCCAAACCCCGAAGCTCACCCACATACTTTTACTTTCGCTCTCGGTGGCTGTATCTATGATTTGAGTTTCGAAAAGTTGCGAGCGAAATTTATGGTGCCAATTTGGCAGAATTTACGCGCTGCAGTGTATGGAAAGCTGCAGCCCGCAATCTGCATTCTGGGAAGCCCCAAAAGCTTTCGAATCGTGTGTCAAAGGCATATAATTTATTGTCGATGTTCGTAAATACTTTATTGCGATTTCAGGTGGGGCGCATTGGCCGTGAACCAGCGGTTCTTTTGCTCCAACGATTGGCGCCTTATGAGTTGCCAAGGCTACCAAAAAGCAGTTTAGTAGCAATTACCAGCTTTTGGCATGTCAGAGGCTCCACGAAACTTTTCTGTCGTTGAAAACAGGCACTTCACTCCACTTCACACCAAGTACATGCAAATCAATTCAAGTTCTTAATTAGCTAATTAATTTCCCTTGCGCTGAGGCTCGACTTAAACTTTTGCCAATTTCGGTACTGAGGTAGGCAACCGAAAAATGAAGATTAATTTATTGAACAAAAACGTCGGGGGCCGTAAATCGTTTTAATTGTCGTAACGAGTATTTCAGATAAATGGATAAATGGGGATCATGGCATTTGAAATATATATACCGGAGCTGAGGGACTGAGATGGGAACAGGGAACAGGGAAAGGGACAAAGGACTAAGGACAATGGACAGCGGACAGAAAACAAAACACTAAGTCATTAATTTCCACTCACAACCTATTCATTTTCCTTTTTTCTACCATTATCCAGCCAACAGAGGGCAGGCGGAGGAGACATCAATATTAAACAGCAATGGAACAAATGGGCGAGCATTTCAAAGGACTCAATCAAGGCGCGAGGCATTAATTCCGGCGACAACGCAAATGGCCCAGACGCTGGACAAAGCCAGCGCATTTAGGCCAACAATGGCTGCAGCTCTGGATGCATCGGCTCCGAACCGCTCCCGCAACAATGTAGCCATTAATAACATTAGCAACAATGGCGATCAGCGCCTGAGGCTGACCGCTGCCCTCGAAGCGAATCTGATTATGAGCAATCGGAATGTCCAGGAGCAGCACAGCTACAGAATCACGCAGGACAACGCCACATCTGCAGCTTCGATTGCCCCGAACGGAACGCCATTTGGGGATGCCCCCCCAATCCCAGGGGCAGCAGCTGCAGCGACTACAACAACAATGGATCCTGCCACAACGACACCTACAACAACAACGAGGCGTACTACACGCCGTCCGGTGGCAACAACAACACTGAAGCCACCGCCAACAATAGATGATTACCAGACAATAATTAGCCAGGCGGGCACCCATGCCTATCTGCCATGCAATGTAAGTTGAGCAGCAACACTGAAAAAATCCCCTGTTACCGGGCACAGAAATGTGAACCAAATTTCGGGGCCCAATTCCATCTTAAATTAAATCAAGTTCGAACTTCTATGAACAGTTCTTGTTTGAGCAGACAGATACTCTCTTATTTGGGGCAGGCACTTAGACGAGGAACTTATAGAATGATTCCATTTGCAAATAGAAACCCATGGCCAAATAAATAAAATTCAGGGAAAAAGTTTTTTTCTTTTTAAAGGTCTCAGTCTAAACAACAAGATACTTCTGCACTAAACAGAAAATCAATTATTGGTAAGTGCAATCTGAAAACCTGGTGCATAAATGTATAAAAGCGCTTTTAGTGATGAGAAAGCGCAGGCTCATAATAAAATATTACTTTGCATTGATGCTAAATTGCAAAATATTTCACTCACGCCCAAATTATAACACACTTTTTTCCGTGTGAACTCCCCCTTGGCTCGACCTTTAATTAGTCAGTGGGCCCTGATTAGATTTCCCTGTTGAAATCAGAATAGAGAAACGAGAACGCTGCCAAACCAAAACGTGAGCTCATACAATTCTGCAAGGCATAATTGGCTGAAATTTGAGGTAGAAGCCGCTTGAAAATGTCCTGAAAATTCAATCAACCACCTCAAGCGAACTCTTTCAAGTTCCTTTGCTTACCAACCAATCCATCAGAGCGAAGTTGTTCGGCAAATTGTTGGTTGTGCCAATATTTACAAGAGATTTTTATTAATCATTGATAATTTATAATAAGCAGCTGATACTACAGCTCTGCCCGCCGTCAATCAGTTCAAAAACCAGGGGCAATTTGGAAGTAGGAGGAAGCTGCACCCAAGGGATGTGGCATCGATTGGCCCGACTTCCGCTCCACTTTTTTCGCCATTTTTGGGCTTTGAACTAATTTACGCTGGCCGCTGTCGGAACTGAACGAAAACAAAACCGGAAATTGCCGATGCTGATGTCGATGTCGATGCCACGCCCTGGCCAAAGGGCATATATAAGCAGATGGATACTCTTGGATAACGCTTTAAACTATTAGTAAATAGCTAAGTACAGGGTACAAGGGAAGAAAAACTTTTCCAGAACTGTAAGCTCTTATTTGTCGCTGTAATTCCGGTGATTGTATTCAGCAAACCTTTTACATTAACCGTTTGTTCAGATCTTATGTAGAACAAAATGTATTTAAGTGTAGGTTGAACTCATATTTCAGAGTTTTCTTTTCGGATATTCCAGATACATATAAAGTTTGCAGGCCATGACTGAAAAGTTTTGCCTAATGATGCCAAAAAAGAATATCAAAACTTCTTACTGAGAGCTATATCTTTTTCACTACGTTGCGAACTACTGAACAAAAAAATCATAATACCCAGGCGAGGACTAGGACGCAGTAGATGCTGAAGAAGACACATTTTCGTTTGGAGCCCCTCAAAAACGATGACCCAAATAGTTGTCACTATATACGTTTATACATCCGCTAAGTACATAAGTGCACATTTATGTACGCAGAAATAGCGCGGAGTGAGAGGAAGGTCGAGTGAGCTGCTCTGGCATCCGCTAATAACTTAGTTACCCGTCGTTCCTTGGCTCTTTGCCTGCTGCATCCGCACATCCGCACATCCGCGCACTGCATCCGCACATCCGCATATCCGCGTTTCGCATTGCAAATTATAATTGGCGCTGCTGGATTCTATCGCTGCCACTGGCAGACTTACTATTTACTGGTTACTGTTTGGACAGGAAATTACTGCCAAGGCGTGCAGCGGAACTTAAAGTTCCAGGAATAAGTATTCCGCCAAACTGACGGCTGCAGATGCGAACTTACTCTGTTAAGCTTTTTTAGCGATTGTAATGCAAAGAAAAAGATGCCGTCGTATGATGAGGTGCCGGCCGAGTTAATTAAAGGAAACCGGATACCCACCCTTCGATCCGATTTATACTTACTTGTACTAACTTCGGAAAGCGAATATTAGTGCCAGGTGATAACTATTGCAATCAAACTAGAAACAAGATTTTTTGCCTTTAAATTCAGCCAGGAATAAGTAATTGAAAGTTTTTTAGTTTATTACATATTTTTACAACCAATTTGGTTCGAATTTAGTTTAACGAAAATTACAATTTAGTTGCAGCTTAGCCCCTCTGGAGTTTTTAAATTATTGGATCCCATTTAAGCTTAAATAAGTTTGCCAACTCCCCACCGGCGAAATGCTCCCTCAACCATGAACTTTTCCCGCTCGATATCGAAAAACAATCTAGTGTAAAATATTTATCAGATAATTTAAATACGTCCACACAATCTCGGGTATCCCAAATTCCCAAATTCCCATATTCGCTTGTGGCTGTTGGCAAAGTGCACCGCACCGAGTGTATATTTATATGCCCGGAATAATCTTCAAATCTGCTTAAACCTAATCAATTAATAATACATTTTGAGACCGTGGGCGTCACAAAGAAAGCAGCTGAGGGAAAACGAATCGAAAGGAAAAAAAAGCCGAAAATCAGGGGGAAAGCCACAAAAATGCTTTGCCTGCAAGCACTTGAGTATTTTTTACCCAGAATCGACAGTCTTTCCCTTCCATCGCGCTGTCATTCTTTTTCTTGGTTTTTTCGACAACTCAGCGAAAAGTTTCTCTCATTTTTGTATTTTGCCTTTTTTGTATCTTGTGTTATTCTGTGTTATTCTGGTGAAGATATGAAAGCAGGCACTTTGAGGTGTATTGTTGTGTGAAAAGAAAGAGGAAGACGCGCCAGTGAAGACAGAGGAGAATCAACAAAATAAAAGAAATTATTTGCAAACAAGTTTAGACGAAAATTCGCAATGTTATGAGCAAACTTTGCTGTCTGCTCGACTGTGATGGAAAGCGATGCTCACGCGTAGTCCCAATGTGGCTTGTGGCCCAGGAACGGGTGTGGGTTGACTGTGACGACAGTCAAGGGAACATAAAAGCCATTGAGCGGAGGATGTGGATATGGCACTTTCTAGACTTGGGCCCACCCGGACCTAACGATTCGAGCAGTTGATACAGTTTTGGGGCAGTTTGAGCTGCAGCTAAAACTAATTAACAATATTTAAATGGCAAACACTGGGCCATCTTGATATCTGCCTGTGGGACATCACTCGACGGTGGAATAAAACGCCATCTCCACAGGCAGCGAGAATTTAAATTAGCTAATATCGGGCAGGGGGAACCTGTTCAGGCCACACAGGGATATTTGTCAGCAAGGACAAAGGAGGCGGATTGGCAAATGGCGAATGGCGAATGGCGAATAGCGAGAGGAGACCTACTTACTCACTTGCCACGTACAAGACACGAACTCCTGACTTGGCTGCCTGCCCAAGCCCATCGCCCTCAGTGGATAAGCATCTTCACTTAATGCCGAGTATAATGTCGATGCTCAGCCCGATAATAATGTCCTTAGAGCCGGGATACTCCTGGCGGAGACTGTGGCGAAATTTAATAAACTCCCACACCGCACAGTGGCTTCCATCGATGGGTTTTTCGATTCTTCACAGCATTGTGGGGCAATTTTGCATGTGCATGTACACACTAGGAAGTGATTAACCTAATGGATTTTTAAGAACGTGTCGCGTCAATAGGTAGCATGTTTAGTTATCGCAGTTCTAAAGCTTGTAAGTTGATTGATTATTGCAAGTATCCTGCAGTTCTTTTAAGTACTTGATACTGCTTTTCGAAGAGAAAAAGCGTTTTAACGATGTTATCGCGATGTAAAAATGTTTTACTCGCGAAAAAATGTATAAAAGTGTTCTCAAACCCTTTCTGTCAAAACCAATAATGAACCAAACTTATACCGCTTAAGGGTGATAAAGTGGAAAAAGTTGTAGGAGCAGAAGTGTCTGCTTTTCCTTATCATTTAGCTCTCTAGGTCCAGGCACATCAGTCGAACGGTTTGATTTGCCGACCAGGCGGAGATGTTCATATTCATTTAAAGAAGATGGCTTTTGACAGCACGTGCTCAACCGACAATAACAGCTCGAATAGCAGCTCGGCTGTTCGAATGGGCGTGTGGCTGGGCGAATGTGGGGCGAATGTGGGGCATCTTCAGCGCCACTTCCTTGGCGACATCCACAACAACAATGGCGGCAACAACAAGCACATAAAACGCAAATGATTATAGTATCTAATCATGACGTTGTCGTCGTCGCCGGGTCCTTGGAGTTCCTCGTTGTCTGCGCCCTGACACCGACAATGTAGTTGATGACAGTGGTTCAAAGGCAGTCATTTGCCTCTGTCACGACGCCTTGGTTTCGGCCAGCTACCACAATAGTTAGCCCCTCCGATAATCACACTGGGAGAAGAGAAGGGGCGGTTGGCAGAGACAATTTCCGAGATTTCAGTTTTGGCTTGTTCAACTGGTAGGCCATTTGTATATTGGGCCAGTGTAATTAGAGGAAGTCAGGCCAGTTACTGTCTGTATTTAAATGCTAATAAATACCTGATGGTATTGGGGTTGGGGTATGGAATGGTTTACGGGGCACTGCCGTATCGATGACTGGCAATTTAATGGATATTATTTTGTTTTGCTGCTCGATGGCTGCCTGGGCAAATTGCCACTAAATTATTATTGGCATTATTGACACAAATGAATCGTCGTTTTGTTATCGTGATTGTTTACTGCCCCGCCAGGCATCCACGTGCCCCTTTTACCAAATTCTCCCCGTAAAGCTTACCAAAGTATATCCAGCTGAGGTAGGGCATCGCCAACAAGCCAAACTTCTGCTGACATCATCATCATCAACATCGACGCGCTGACCAAAGCCCCAGGGTCGGGAAGCTGGGACTTACTGTTTGAAGTGCTTTTGTGTGGGGATAATTGAATTAATTTTTAAAATTGAAACCCTCAACTCGAATGATTTCGCGGTAATTGAAAGCAAACTTGCTGTCTCATTTGGGCAGGTTAAGCAGCTGGTGAAGAAGCCGATATCCTGGCTGCGCATGAGGGACGGGCACATCCTTACCGTAGACCAGACCACCTTCATCGCGGATCAGCGCTTTCAGTCCGTGTTCTCCCCAAATCCTGAGCGTTGGTCGCTGCAGATCAAGTACGTGCAGCTGAAGGACGAAGGAACCTACGAGTGCCAGGTGTCCACGGAGCCCAAGGCCAGTGCCATTGTGCATCTAAGGATAGTGGGTGAGTAATCCGAAACTAGCCTACTTTTTGGGGCAACTATTGTACTTAATAGTTTCAACTAAAAGGGCTCACGCAAATTGCCATATTAGTTGACTGAAGTAATAAGACTTATGTTGTAATTGAATTTGTTTAATGGTCTTAAGGTGCCAGACAATTATTATTTTAGACAAATAAATTTGTAAACTACAAACTATAGTTGTGCTGTCAAAAGTCTGAGTACCACAGTACTGGCCAGACATTCCATTATCCCTCATCCGGCAAAACCGATGCCAAAATCAAAATTGAAACCCAAACCCGAAATCAAATGCTACCCCTGACCACACCTATAAATCTGCAATGGCAGTGACAATAAATCAATGACCGTTGCACTTTCGAGAGCAAACTTGTGGATCCATGTGTGTGAATCTCTGCTTTCACTGCATCCGTCTCACTTTAACCCCATTTGCCTTTGTAGAGCCGAAAACCGAATTAATTGGCGAGTCAACGCGACATGTGAAGGCCGGAAGTCAAGTGAAATTGCGTTGCATAATTAGCCAGGCTCTGGAGCCGCCGCTATTCATTAATTGGTTTTACAATCAGAAGCAAATCTATTTGCATAATCGTCGCGGTTGGCGTACGGAAATTGAACGAATCGATCTGCCAGCGGAAGTGCCAACCACCACCAGCACCACCACTACGACAACAACAACCAGCACCACGACCACCTCCACCTCCACCACCACCACCACCACCAGCAGCACAACACCAGCAACACCATCGACACCATCGACATCGGCCACAGGATCAACAGAAGGCGCCACACCCTCGGCTACGCTTAATGGTCTGGTAACCATAACACGTTCATATATTCTAGATGCCATATCCCAGAATGATGTTTCCGAAGTGGGGGCCGCTGCAGGAGTGGCTGTTGCAACGGAGGCGCCAACAGCTCAGCTGGCTCCCGAGGTGGAGGCAACGCCTTCGACTTCTGGGACGTCGGCGGGCGCAGGACTCCTCCTTGCCTCCACCAGTGCTGCATCCGTTGGAGGAGCTGCAGCAGCAGGCATAACTGCTGCAGTGACAGGTGACTCCGCAGCAGCAGCAGCAGGAGCAACAACCAGCGTCTGGCTGACAACAATGGAGGCTGAGGCGGCAACAACTGCGGCCACAACAACGACAACCATGCTGCCAAGCAGCAGTTTCATTAAGCAGATAACGGTAAGTGGCTTACCGCATTCCGCCCCCCGTATCCGGCACGCCTCCTGGCAATTTGCCCGCTGAAAACGTTCCCATTAAATGGCTTTTCATTACGCAAATGGGCGTGAGCGCGCGGTGGGCAAAATAATTTTTATTAAATTCTTATTGTCAACGTTTGTCAAATTATAATTTTTAATACGGCCCCAGCAGTCGGCGTCTGCCACACTCGATTGCGTATGGCGGCTGGCTCGGCAGATGAATAATATTTCCGTATATGAATACAGAGGCGTGTCCTTAAAAGGAAAAATGCATTTCCATCGCTCAGTTTCAGGTTTATTTTCCCAGCTGTTTGTAAATAGAAAAAATACAGCAATTATACGCAGAAATTTGTATTTTCAGGATATAGAATAATATTTTTTTAAGTCTGGAGCTGTACACTTGAAGTTCATGCGCAGAGCACTTGTTTAATTAAATTCTTTTTCGTCATAGTCCAAAATCATACAAAAACGTTGGACAAAATATTTAGGAAGTGCTAAAGTGCTGCGGAATGATTATCCTTGATTTTAAGTTTTTAATTTTAACGAATACTCCCTGTATCTCTATATGCCTGTCCTTAAATTTTCATTTCAGACGGCTTCTCTCATCATTCCGGCCGTAGTCAAACTGGATTCCGGCAACTACACGTGCAGCCCCTCGAACAGTGCCCCCCGCACCATTGTGCTCCACGTGCTGAACGGTAAGGGGTAAGGGGGTAGGGGCTGTAATGTGGGTGATTCAGTGGGTGGTGGGCGGAATTAAGGTAAGGTCGTTGGCGGAGCGGCTTCAACTGTTTGTCTGTCTCTACGGCTGAGCAATTGAATTAAGTTTTCATTTAGCTTAATTGAATTTCATTCGGATGCGTTTGTGTTTGCTTTGACTTTTGATTTTCGCGAAATATGCGCACAGTGAAACAGGCCCGCCAATTATGAGCGTAAATTGAACTTAGGCTAAACAGAAAGTTCTACGGCAAATAGATGCCGAGAGCACAGCAAATTTAACAAAATTTTTGTTTGTTAGCGCCTTTTGTCCCCGGACAAACCACTGTTCCAGCCATTTGAGTGGTTTTTATTTTGTTTACACAATTTCCTACAGTGGCAAACACAATGGCAGCGAAACGAAACGAAATGAAACCGAAACCCAAACCCAAACCCAAACCCAAACCCAACCGAAAGAGTCGGTAGTTCCAGCAAAGGAACAGTTGCAGTTTTATTGTTATCTCGAAATGGCCACAATTGCGTTATTTGCTCAATGTCCGCCGGGCAACATGGACACGGCCGAGTCCGAGGACGAAGGACGCCTGCAACAATGGCAGTGATGCCGGCGATTGCGATGACTGACCTATAAATGTCGCAACGTAATGGTTAGCTATCTGTCCGATTTTTCATCTCACTCTGCTCTATTTGCCTCTCGGTTGGCTTACACAGCAAAAAACTTAGGAAAAACAGCCCACGCCTGAAAGGCCACCGATTGGTTGAAAGTAACCCACGGCCTTTTATATAATTTCAATGAATTTTTTCCAATTTTGTGCGGGATAATTATAGAGTTTATTAAGAGAGAAAACGAAGTATAAAGTTCTGCCACGTTTCATACGATAACTTCCACCTCATTCGATTGTGTTTTAATTACCTTTTAATAATCAACGTTTTAATTCCCGAACAACAAATAATTGTTTTCAAAACGAAAAAATATTATAACGTTCAACGCAATCGAATTAAATATCATAACACTAGGCATTCCTCTGAGACTTATTTATAAGCCGTTGAAATATGCATCATTTTCGACTGTGTGGTGTGGTTGCCACAAATTTCCGCTTGCATTTAAATCGTTTGAATATCTCTCCCGCCGGCTGTGTTGTCCTTTCTATTCCTGATCCAGTTCCCGTTCCTGGCTGTCAACTCCGACATGTCCTCATCCTCATCCTCGTCGGAGGTCTGTGTTTGTGTTTGACTGCTATTTGTAGCCTGTCGCTCTCCGTTTGGAGCACGCTACTTAAAGGCACTTCAGCAGATGACAATATGATTCGACAGTGCCGAGTGTTAACCCACACCCGTACCAGCTCCGGCAAAACAAATGTCGAGCGATTGTGACTGATGACACCTGACGGAGGACAAGGACTCGCAGCTGGATTTTCGGGGCAGACAGGTGCCAGTCGCTGGCAGGACTGTTACGCAGCGAATAATGGCCATAAAAACGCCGACCTGTCTGTAAAGTACTTGTGTGTAGGTCAGAAAGGGCAAACAATCGTCAAACAATTTTTCGACGCGCGCTTAAAAATAAATTCGCAATTTAATTTGCTATGAAATGGCCGCAATGTGGGGCGAGAGCAAACATCATTTATAACAGCGAATTAATGTATTTTTAATATTCGACTAATTGACGCAGATAAAAGAAAGGCTCACAGCCCACTTGCCACGAGTTTTTTTTTTTCACCCGTTAAGCTGGGCAAACGTGTAAAAGGATGTTAACGCCGAGGATAATGAAAAACAATGCTCCAGAGATAATGTACATGTGTGTGTGTGTGGGTGTGTGGGTGTGTGGGTGTGTGTGCGAGTGTGTGTGAGAGCCTGGCTGAGTGCCCGACAATAATGAAATTTCAGACATAAGAGGCCCATACTTTGCGCTTTTTACATAATTTTAATAAAATGCACGAGTCCTGTGCAAGTGCGAAAAGGTTAATAAACTTAATGTCATTTCTGCGGCGCAATTGTTGTGGCATACTACAATTTTTGTATTGCCGCTGGCCGGACATTGTGTCATGACAAATGATTATTAATAACTTAATAATATTATCATTTATTTATTCAGGGATTTTTTATTTTAATTGCACTCCCTCTCTCTGTGATTTATTAAATCAGCTAGCCTGGTGGCCCGAGCCCCATCCGGTGGCATAATTAATTTGCTTGCTCACTCACAACTCGTCCCTGCGCTTTGTGAAGTGGCAATGTCAGCGTGCGGTTGGCTTTTAAATTTATTCAAGTTTAATTATTTTAAATAAGTAATTTCATACATATTCGACAAGTTGCCCCCGCATTGCATAACTGATTCAGCAAACCACAGCTCGTTTTAGGCCCATTTTCTGATGACTCGCATGATTTTGTTGCTCTTGCCGTCGCTTATATTCAGTGGTTTTGGTAATTAATATCGGGCGGCTAATGGAAAGCTGGTGCTGCGAAACCCATAATTAGCTTGCAATAGTTGTGGTTAACTTGTCGACTCCTTATTGCCATGGGAACTTTGAGAGATCTGCATTGAAAAGTAATAAGCTAATTAAACTAATATTACATATGAATACGAATACGTACCCTAAATTTTATCATCATTTCTATTGCTTTTATAGTGCTCGGTGCACATTTAGTTCTAATGAGTGACGCAGGGATCAGGTTCTGGCCTATTTGCTTTGAAACTTTCAGTTCATTTCGGGCCAACGCCAGTAGCATATCAATATTTGCCATGTGCGCGTTTCACGCGAATGCCACAAAAATCCATCAGCTGAATTAGCCATACACGAAATTCACGCGTAACCCACATGGACTAACTCGTGTTTGCTGTTCAATTTTTGAATAGAAATATTTAATTACAATGGGCACTTCATTTATCCAATCGAACGCATTCGAGTTTAGCCGAACTGTGAGGAAAGTGTCTGGATGGATTTAATTTTTAGTCAAAAATTGATTGTGATGGCTGCGGATTGTGTGCGATTTGGGCTTGTGAAATTGGGCGGATTGCAGTGACATTATTGAATTAGTTTTTCGCAACCATGGCGGGATTTAAGCTGGTGTTGGGGCAAAACCACAAAATGCCGCGCTCCGTGCTCTCAAATAACTTGTTTCATTCCATTCTGATCGGCAGGTGAATATTCCGCCTCGGCCATTAAGTCGGGCAGTGTCAGCTGGAGTGCGCTAATTGGATGTCACGGCTATTTGCACTGGCGGAATGTTTCAACGCTTCTGACACTTTTGTGGATTATTAAATTTGCACTGGCCAGGGACATCTGCCAACCGAATGCCATCAGCAAAGCCACCACAAGGACATCGGCTCTACTCGCAGGAGACGGAGCAACAGCAGATGGGACAGGGGAAACAGGACCCAAATTAGGGGCCAGCTTCCACAGGGTCAGCAGCTCAATTAGTGCCACCAAAGTGGCCGAGGACAAGACTTGAGTTGTCCTCAGGCAATCGCCTAGTTACTTGAATTTTACGCATTAAAGGAGGCTACGAATTAAGATTTTACTCGATTTAATTACATATTAACGGAGAGTAAGAAGGATACACCCTCGCCAAGGCAATATATACAGGACTAAGGGCATAAGTTAAATTTATATCATACCTGATTCATGTTTGTTTCCCATCTGAGTGTAAATTGATATTGAGATTCATGCCTATGTTCCGCCATATCGCGTATTTTCATTGAAAAGTTGCAAGAATTGTGTAAATAGAATGCACAGAATTCGCCCCTAACAGATAAGAACATTTGCATTACGTTAATCAATTGGAATCTGCCATGGTTGTATCATATATAAGTTAAATAATCAAAAATGATTCGTAAGGCTCGAGAGCACTAACACATTTTCAAAGGGAATTTTATGGAATAAAATCCAATGTGTAGTTCAGCGCATTTAGCACGATTGAATGAGTATCAAATGAATTTCAAATTTCTTTGGTTTCCTTAAGCTATAAATTGTAAATATGTATGTATACCTTATGATATCCGTATGAATACCCTGATTTTTTAAGACCTAAAATCAATTTTTATGCATAAAGGATAATGATAAACGAATATTGAATACAAGTGTAAATAAAAAAAAGGGTGTTACAGCGTTCTATTTAAATAAATATCCCAAGCAAGCCAAAAAATTAATGTAAACCTTAGTTAGTATATAAAAGACTTACTTAAATTTTAGACGCAGCCAAGCCACAAAAACCCAATGTGAAACCAAAACTTAATCAACTAAATAAACAGAATTGTAAGGAGTTGCTCCAACGTTGCGTATACTTGATTTGCAACACGAAATTTTAAGACATGCAAATGCAAACGAAAATGGAAATTAAATGGAAATCAATTGAAATGAAGTGTTTGCAATAATTCTTAAGCCATAAGAAATAAGTGAAATACAAGTAAATAAAATAAAATTTCTTCAACGGACTCAAGTCGATTACTTTCTGAAATCAGCTTACATACCATTAAACCTTCGGACACGTGCTAACCAAATGCTAAACAAAAACATTTTTCTAATCAAATTCGCACTGTATAAAAATCAGTAAAAATGCATGCTACCTTACCGTCTTGGTCTAGTCAACTCACATATTCCAACGTCGCTTCAGAATTTCTGACAAGTTTGTTAAATATTCACCAATGGCATACAGTCCAGAAAAACCACCAGGGGCGGTGAAAAAAAGGGGGACACCATTTTTTCACACTAACAACGTATTAAACTGATGTAAAATCCTGAGGGCCTGGCAAACCAACTGAATGTCAAAATATTTCCACCCGTGACCCAGCAGGCAACTTTTGCTGAAATGAATTCAACAGTAATTTTCTGTGGTTATTGGGCGGGAAGAGGGCGTGGCCAGGCATAAGCCAACTGTGCGAGCTATATGTTGTGGACTCGGTTTATTAGTTCTGAATTCGGCAGTCGATGGCCTTTTGTGAATTTTAAACTATACTTTCCCGTATTTTATTCAAATTATTTAATTTAATGAATTTTAGCCCATTTTTCGGTTTTTAAGCCTCATAAATGCTATTTTGCCTAATGGAATTATAAAAACCAGGCATGACTACTTATTTGATTATTCTCTTTTGAATTTATTCGGCTATAAAACCAATTAGTCAACTAAATAGCTTAGTTTTTAAGGCAAATTAAAAACCCATTTCCATTTGATAATATCAAATATGGCAGCTTTAACAGCGAAATGCATGTCTCCAGTGCGCTTAAAGATTCTCTAAGAAAATCGGATGCGTTAGCGGCGAGCAAATGAAAAATTGAAAATGAAAATGAAAACCGTTTGTGGCATTTGTTTCAACAAGCGTACGCAAAGTGGTTGACGAGTCGAGAAAGGCGATGTGATGCGATGCAGGTGACGACCCCTGAGCGGTGAAATGAGCAAGAATATGGCATAAATCAGGCTGTACATGGGACAAACCCTCCTCCGCATCCCGCTCCTCTGGCTGCTCCTGCATGTCAGCCAATCATAGTTTTCACACTCTAGTTAACATCATTGTCACCGAGTTTCACTCACTCCCAGCTCCTGTACATACCGTAGTAGAGGGGGCACAAAAAATTGGTTGACGTTTGCAGTTTGTCACCATCTCTCTGCTGGCTCGTCCCTGTATTTGGTGCACAAATCCAACGATTTTCCATTGCTGCCATTGCTGCCATTGCTGCCGACCACGTTCGCCACCCTTTTCAAGTGGAATTCTGCGTTTGTCGTTTTTAAAATTTTACCAACGTTGACATTTAAGTTAATTTGCATATTGCCGCACAAAATTTGCCGCCTGCCGGTTGCCAAGGCTGACGATGATTATGACAATGAGGGCAAGGAAATGGTTTGGGCCCTGAACTCCGTCAATGAATGTCAGAGCCCAGGCCCACCTACACTTCTGCTTTCGCTTCGTGGAAGCTCTATATTTGCATTGTATTCGCCGCTCCTTTATCGTGCCGAGTCAGTTTTTAAAACTAAATGTTGGCCAATTACACCGGCAATTAACATAAAGTTCCCATTCAAAGAAATTTTGAAATTACCAGCATCTGCATATATAGTTGGCAAGGGAAATACTGCTTAAATTGTATATTAAGGCTTTGTGCTTCTGGGAAAACTCACTTTAATGTGCCCAAAATTTTAATGTTCAGCAAACGTTAATTTGGCACCGAACGAGTTTAAAATCTCAGCCATATGGGTGGCAGTATGCCACAGCATTCCGAGCTACGTGCACGTTGCATATTAATCAAATCCGCTCCGCAGCAGCGAGTTGTTGCAATTTAGCTGGATTCAGAACGCCATAAAATATGCCAGCAGAAACCGAAGAGTGCCCGCATCCACATCCACATCCCCATCCTCATCCCAACTTTCCGTTGGCATCCGCAGGGGATCACACTTGTCTATGCGCGTTTAGCACGATGGCTGCCACAAGGCTTTATGGCTGCCTTGCCACCCAGCTCGTGGCACCCAATTTCCGGTGCTTGCGTAAATACATTATGCAGCTTACAACTACTTAACTGGCGGCAAAGTGCGGGGAGCTCGCGGCATAAAGTGGCAAATTCAAGGTGCAACTTTTGTCGATACAAGCTTCTGGTCCTCCCCCTCACCGCACCCCTACTCACCAGCATGCCAAGGGGACGACCTGAAAGGATGCAATAAAAGTGCACGGGAAAACTGTGAAAGAGGTGAAGATTACGCACTGAATAAGAATACGAGGCTTTCCGAAATGGGCGTTAGTGCACAGGAAAAAATGATGATCTAATTTCTGTTCAATTTGAGAACGAAAATAAGCTACAGAAAAATATAAAATATAAAAGTGGAAACATTTCTAAACATGTATAGGTATAAAGAATGCCTTTCAGAAAATGAACACTATTTTTTGCTTTTTAAAAGCGTTGAGCATTTGATATTGTTTTTTGTAAGCTGGTTGGCTTGCAAGTAGTAGTGCTAGAGACTTACAAGAAATGTTGCTCGGTCAAAAACTCGCCAGCTTAGCTTTTTGTGGCTAAAGAAAGGCAATATAAAACTGTTTATAAGAATAAAACCCTTTTTTGTTTCTCTGTAAATGGCTGTAAGTATGAGTGCGGTGAAAAGTTCTGCGAGAGAACTCGCACTCAACCTGAATCCAGACAGACACTTTGAGGCAGCGCCATTCACATGACAAACATGTGTGATACGCCACTTGCACCCAGCCAGCAGCCAGTGCTATCTGCATTTGCAACAACAGTTTTTCTTTGGCGCAGCCTTTTCCACCCACTTCGTCAACACCACGCCCACCAGATAGCTCGTCTGTCAGCGTGGCATACTCATGAAAGTTAAGGACTTGCATAACTTCTGGCATTTATGTGCGCTTTTCACCTGCTTGCCAACAGCTTCCCCTACTTTTCACACCCGCCCCCCCGGCGACCGCCCACTTTTGCATGCTTCATTACGCTAATGCCGTGTTTTCAAATTATTTTACAAGCCCCCACCCGCCGGCGTGTGGAAACCCTTTCGCCATTTGTTGCATACAAAATGGAAAAGCGGTCTGATTAGCATGTGATAAACGGGCATGGGTGCTGTGACATAGTTTCCAGCCCAGGTGCATGGTAATCTGGCTTGGGATCGATTCAGATATGTCTGGTTACAGCTCAGTACATGGAGTACGGATAAAGCTCTTCTAATTAAATGCACAATAATTAAGATTGGATGTCATTAAATTAATGAAAGTCAAAAGCAAGTCTCTGCGGCAAAGGTGATGGCCAAGGCGGGCACATAACGACAGGTTGTTTGCTTTACATAATTATTTCATTAAGTGTTTTGTGTGCGACTTTGAGACCGACGCTGTCTTGAGCCACCAGTCGTCGGCCCTTCTGAGGGACCTTTTCACTTTTCCACTTTGGTAATTCCAGCATTTAACAAGTCGGAAAGCAGCATCCCCAGCAGCACTCGCCTTGACCTCCGGCATGGCCAAAATCGGTGGCGAACGCCAGGATGCCACGATGCCACGATGCCACGATGCCAGGATGCCAAGATGCCAAGATGCGGGGAGATGTGGCATAGCTCATTAACAAACATTAGTTGCAAATGTTGTGAATTACTTAAGGAATTAATATTCCATGCTTTACACACCCACACACACACACTCACACACAGGGGCTCTCTGGGGAGGAGAGGAGGTGGCTGGAACTTAATCTCCCCGAGGGCTTCTGGCACTCTACGACGGCAGCCAAATGAGCGAGAGTCATAAGTCCTGCCGCACAAGCACAAGCACACTCACATCCACATCTACTTCTTAAATCCTGCTCAGCGTCTGCTGTGTACACTGCGGCGTATACTTAATGCAAACTAATTCATTTCCACGTATACACATCACTATCCACTCACACTCACACCAGCACACCCAATCGGTTATCATCGTCATCATCATTAGAACGATGCTTGCCTGCTGCGCTAGTTAATGATAGTTGACCTCCCCCGTAAGCATATTGAATTAATGAAAGCTCTTTGTCTGTTGACCAAGATATATTCACTGGCT